GCAACCAGTTACGAAAAAAATCGAAATCACGGTTCCAGAAAAGCGCTGAATATCAAACAAAGTGGTTTGTTTTTCTTCCTTTTCATGAAATAAAGAATTCTAATTAGTTCAATTTCTTATGTCTATGTGTTATGCGTTATGCAAGAGTCTCTGCTCTTCATTTTCTCCTATAAAGACACATGTAAGGATATATATATATATATATATATATATCCACATAAATTTGCACAGTCACATAACGTATGCATAAAAAAAATTATCCAATCGTATTTCTCCTATTAAGACACATGTAAAATGTGATTGGATAATTTCCTTTATACATACGTTATGCGACTGTGCAAGTGTGGATATATCCTAGAATGGGGGAGGATATATCCTAAAATGTAATTGGATAATTTGCTTTAGGGTGCGATTATATGTAGCGCGGTAAAAAACTAAGGAAAATTTTACTTGAAATTATAGTACACGTGACGTATACTATAGCACATAGAATAAAATCTTCGGAGAGAAGTTTTGGAATGTAGCTTAAGTAACTATAGAAACCGCGCAAACTGTGCTGCTTGTTTCTTTTCCTTCTATTATTCTATCCCCTCCCCCCGCTCCATACAAAGGTTATCACAGGATTTACGGTCCTAATTCGCCGCATGGTACTTGATCTTTTCCTTGGGTCGAAAAATCAAGCAGCAGATTAATAAAAAGTGTGACATGCCCTTTTTTATTACTGACAATTCTATTAAAATTGTATTTGAAATTGTATTCTCATTTACTATATATTTTTTTAAATATGACTAATTCTACTTTTATTCTTGATAACGGTGCTTGTACGGCAAAAGTTGGTTTAGCCAACGAGACACCCAAGTAAGTACTACTATTATTTAAAAGAGACGCTTACGTTTCAACTGACTGAAAAAAGGTGCATTTATTTATTAATCGATGAAAATATTTTAGATTTGTTCCAAATTGTATAATGAAAGCAAAGAGTGAACGTCGCAGACCTTTCATTGGAAATCAAATCGAAGAGTGCAGGGACGCTTCCGGACTATTTTATATTTTACCTTTTCAGAAAGGTTATCTAGTGAATTGGGACATTCAAAAAACTGTATGGGACTATATGTTTTCAAAAGACTTATGTTCGGTTAATTTAAATCAGTTATCTGTGATAGTGACCGAACCTATATTTAATTTTCCAAGTATTCAAGAAGCTATGACAGAGATTTTCTTTGAAGAATACGAATGTCACAGTCTTTTAAGAATAAATGCAGCAAGTCTTTCGTGTTATAATTATAGAATGGAATATCCAACTACAAAATGTTGTATAGTAGTAGACAGTGGTTATAGTTTTACACACATTATTCCTTATGTTAATGATGCAAAAGTAAAGGAAGGAATACGAAGGATAGATGTAGGTGGCAAACTTTTAACAAATCATCTGAAAGAGATCATATCTTACCGCCAGCTGCATGTTATGGACGAAACATATGTAATTAATCAAGTGAAAGAAGATTGTTGTTTTGTATCACAAAACTTCTTTAAGGATATGGAACAAACCAGATATAAATTAGAGAATAATATTATTATTAAAGATTATGTTTTGCCAGATTATACGACTCTTCGACGTGGATATCTTAAAGATCCTGAGCCATCCAACGAGCAACAAATATTACGTTTGACTAATGAGAGATTTGCAATACCAGAAATATTATTCCATCCATCAGATGTTGGTATTCGACAAATGGGTATTTCAGAAGCCATTATGGATTCCATAAAAGCTTGTAGCAAAGAAACATGGCCTCATTTTCTATCCAATATTATTCTTACTGGTGGTAATACAAAGTTTCCAGGATTTAAAGACAGAGTGTATAAAGAAGTTAGAAGTTTAGCTCCAGCTGAATATTCTGTCAATGTCTACTTACCACAAAAGTATTTTATATATATGTATATATTACATTTGCTACTTCTTATTTTATGAAAAGTTTAATAAGACTAATAAGATTCTTTCAATTTTTAGTCCAGTTACTTATGCATGGTTTGGTGGGAAAAAACTTTCAGAAGATACAATATTTCCTAATCTTTTAGTGACAAGAGAAGAATATGAGGAAGAAGGATCATCTCTGTGTTTTGAAAAATTTGACGTATAATTTTGTTGTTATATAATATCTATTATTATAAAAGTTTTGATATAATTAATAAATACTATTAATCAGTATAAAAGTATATAAATATTTCAAAAAAATTTTTATTTTATATCAAATTATGAAAATTAATATTGTATTATATAT